AGTTAGTAAGGGATGCAATTGCAGCAGGTATCTTCAATGACTTAGGCTCTGGATCTAATGTGGATCTGTGTGTTATTCGCAACACTGGTCCTGCCCAATATCTGAGAACATATGAAGAAGCTAATATCAAGGTAATTAGTTTATATACAATATACTATGTATTTATGTATTAATTTTTTAAATCCAACACAATCTTGACGACTCCATTAGTGCAAGCCGCATTTAGCTTCATGACCATAGATTGTAATGGTTTGTAAATTTTTGTTTTGGGTCTGGATGCTTGTCTATGTGTAATTTTGTGTGTGAATCAGCTCCATTTTATTTTTATTAAAACATACAGTTTTTGCTGAGCTCATTGTCGCAAAGCATTTTCCTACCTCGACGTCAACAAGTTGAGTGGCCCTGATAGAGTCCCTCCAATAGTGCGAAAGATTTGTGCTCCGAGTTGTCACCGGTACATACATACGGTACACCGGTACGCGTCTTCTCCAGTACTTCAACTTTTTAGGCACAGTCCCGATCGTATCGAAGGCAGCTTCACTGCACCTTTTAGGTATATAAAAAGGCAACCACTCAGATCCGCTAAACTACAGACCTATCGCCATTATTTCCTTGTACTTCAAAACAATTTAGTCCATTATAAACTGTCAGTATAACTCTTATGAGGTATATCAAGGACCACCAGTTGGTTAACACTAATCATAATTACATATAAATAAAATTTAAGTGTCTGTCTGTAATATCGAAATGACTGTCTTCTATTAAGCTCAAGGGCTTATTTGTATCCAATTAAGACATAAACAACCATTTAAAAAAAAAGTTGTTTAGGTTAACCTATTGTGATGAAACTTTACGAACATATGAGAGCAATGCCTGGAGGGGTTCTAGGCTATATTTTATCCAAAAAACTTAGTTTTTTTTTTGAAAAAAAAAAAACGAATGATGAAATAAAAAGGTATTTCATTATCTTAAATCTAAATAACATCACTTTAATAAATCCTATCCTAGTGGAGCCGGGGCGGATCGCTAAGATAAAATAAAAATATTTGAAATCAATAAAAAGTTTTAAAGAATATCATAAATTATATTCTTCACATGGTTTAATCAAATCACGATCAATAAAGGAAAAGCAAATTAGCCGTAGAGCTATGCATGGAAATTTTGGAAATAGCCTGTCAGACAACGACGACGACTTTAAATTTGTTCTTTTCTTTTTTTAAGGGTATGTTCCGAAATACAACGCAGTGTACTGTCCAATGCAAATGACGTCATGAATCGACGCTATACTGGTGATTCGTTCCAAAACATTGGACAGTATATGACGTCATACTTTTGCGCCATTTGGAAAAGTGTTGGCGATTATTTTGTCATTTTGTGCTCCAAAAATCATTATATCCTCCTAATGGATATACCATCAATTATTCTATAATTTTTTGTATTTGAATAAATAGAAACAAATTCTGGCATGCTTCATTCGGCAAACACACAATTAAAAATTGTTTTATTATGGCCGGATATCCGACACAATATGGCGGCGGCACGCTAGTACAATAAAGTGTCAAATGATACGTCATTTGCATTGGACAGTACACTGCGTTGTATTTCGGAACATACCCTAAATTGAATATGAATAGCATACTGTACTGTCTGTGCATTTGGTTTTTTTACATTATGAAGTGGCTCCTAAGAATGTTTTGTATATCCCATAAGCTTATACTTGTTTAAGTAAATTTTCTCGCGACTTCGTTCGTGTATAATAAATTAAAGTAATGATTTCTTATATTTACGCGAACACTATACATTGATTAAAACTACTTTTACGGATTTTATCGCGTTTTATTTATATTAATTTTAATACCCGACGTTTCGGGTGCTTTCCAGCACCCATGGTCACGGGGGACTGAGGTGACTGACGTCCCGATGTCAAAGTTAACCCGGAGTACCTTCAGCTTTTTAATTATTGTCTTTTTAATTATTGATTCTGCGTAGATCGGACCAAAGACAATAATTAAAAAGCTGAAGGTACTCCGGGTTAACTTTGACATCGGACGTCAGTCACCTCAGTCCCCCGTGACCATGGGTGGGGTTTTTATTGTATTTTTCAAAATTGTAATTTATTATTATATACTTCCCTAATTTAATCGGATTTTGTTTAAAATGTCATAGGTTTTTTTGTATGGTAATATTTTTGCGCGTAACCCTAATTCTTTTTCTAAAATGAAAGTAGCCAAGTTACTTCTTATAACATCGGCTGTCAGTGAAAGTTCCGTCAAAACTGGTCCACCCGTTTAGTTGAATTATCAGGAACAAACAGACGGACAATTTTTTTAAATTATAAGAACCGTACCTATATACTTTCATATACATTTATTTAAAAACTGTTATTTTGTCATTACAAATAAACACTTCAATCTTGTTTGTAGACGTGGACTCAACCATTGGACCCTCCTCCTTAAAAAAGTACCAGGAAACATCATTATTTTATATTAAATTATGTCTTTACAGGGTAAGAAACAAGGTTCCTACAGATATCCACCAGGGACAACTGCTGTATTGAAACAACGTGTAATTCCTCTCGAAGTTGAATCGGTGTCTATTCACCCAGTGCAACAGCCCCAACCCATGGAAGTAGAGCCATCGCACAGCCGCCGTTAAATCTTTATTTATTCCAATGTTTATTAAAGTCATTTTTTATGAAGCAGTCTGGTTTTAATTTTTATTATTAGTGGCATATTATATTCTATTAAATTCGTACATTTATATTTTTGGCTCACTTTAATACATTTTTGATATTAAAGTATTTAAAAAATAATTTATATTTATAGAGAAGTTTTAAAGAAAAAATTAAAACTTTACCAACCTAGGTAAAGTTTTAATTTTTTTTTACCGCACACCTATCAAATCAGTTGCTTAAATTGTAATCAATGTCAGTTGTGCCTGCGAGTTCTTCTAGAAGGGCATCAATGAATTATCAATGAATATAAGGTGCAAGCACCAGGGTAGCCCGCAAATGCATTTTCTTACGTTTTTTTGCAATTGCAGGTCACGGTGTCAGGCTGTATGTTGAAAAAAAAATGATTCGCGACCGTAACGAGTACGTATTTACTGAATTATGACAATTGTAATCATCAATACAACCCTCTTAAGTTCGTATAATTCCATTGTATGGCTATTTCCAGAAAAACTCATTCAAAGAAGTTATATAAACTTAGAGGGTTGTATTGGTGATTTTTATGATAAAAATTCTGTAAGCACATACTTGTTACGGTCGCGAATCATACTTACTTAAATATACAATCTCACACTGACCTGCAAATTGCAAAACACATAAGAAAATTTGAAATTTCGCGGGCTACCCTGGCGCTTTCACCTTAAATATGAAGCCCATATCAATCAACAATATTGTTTTAGTGATTCAGCACAGGAGTTAACGAGTATAACTGTATATCAGACTATGAAAAAATATTTTTGTTTTTCATTAAAATTTTAATACCGAGTTCTATCACAATAAGATTTACCTAATAAAATTAGTTGACTATTCTTCTTCTTCAACTTCTTGATCAACTCTTTAAGTCACTGCTGTACATGCGATGCGAGCTGCCAAACGAAACATCAGAATGGTCGAATTACGGAAACTATTACGACGAAGAAAATTAACCAAAAGAATTAATTCGTTTTGTAAGACGCCATACAGCGTTTGGATGGGGTCGCGACCAGCGTAGTTGAGCTGTGAAGACAGAGGCGTAGCTACCGCCGTATCAGTGATACGGGGCTCCCGGGCTACAAAGGCCCCGAATGTGTGTAAGCAAAAATTCGTAAAATGTTATCCACAATCTCATTCAAACTCTTCAGCCGTACTTCCCGAGAAAAAAATCATATCATCAAATATTATCCAACGTGCCTAAATAAGACCTGTCAAATATTGACTAATTGTCTGTAGTTTTTGGATACATTTCGATAACAGAAAATTATGATAATGTACCTAAAGAAATAAAAATCAGAGTTTTTTTTTTGGATTTATAGCAGTGTCCGATTGTAGTGCAATACTGTTAACTGTAATTTTAAATATCATAAAAGAATATGTAATTGATTTGTCCAAATGTAGAGGGCAGTGTTATAATGGGGTAAATGTCATGTCGGTGGTATATCGAGGATTACAAACCCTTATAAAACAGCAAGCCCCAAATGGCGATTATGTTCATCGCGACGATGAACGACGATAAGGGAGTGTCTTGAAACTGAGGAGATACGACAAAGGTGTTTTTTTAGCGGTTAACGCGCAAACTTGTGTCTTCTGAGGGTTAAACTGGACTAGATTTAGTCTCCCCCAATCTGAGACTCTGTTCAGTAAAGACTCGACTTCAGACTCAAGTTTGTACCGGTACTCGGAGACGTTTTCCCGAGAAATATTGGCACAGCCGGTGTACAGAGCATCACCAGTGCTGTCATCTGCATAGCAATGAATGTTACGGGTTCGCAACATATCATTGATATGCAGAAGAAACAGCGTTGCTCACGCGCCTTGTAACACCAGCATTAATAGGCTTGTAATCGGAGCTTGCACCGTCTACGATGACCTTGATGTTCCGATCTGCAAGAAAGCTGGTGATCCAATTGCACAATTTCTCGGGAAGCCCATAGGAAGGGAGCTTCGAAAGAAGCGCTTTGTGTTGCATCCCTTTGCATTTTCTATCGCATCTATCACGGGGAGTGCTCGGAGGAATTTTCCGGATTAATCCCAGCCGCCAAATTTCATGAACACACATCGCGTTAAATTCAAGATACCTTCCTCACCATCTGGATGCTTGACGGTACCACCACTGTGCGTTTTGCTAGGTAGTATTCTTCCTCGTACAACTTCTCTGTTTGTTTACCACCGGCGATTTTTCCGGACCGATACGACTTGGGGACCAATCAAGAAAAGAGCTTACTCCTTTTTAAAAGGCCGGCAACGCACCTGCAATTCACCTGGTGTTGCGGTTGTTCATGGGCGGCGGTAGTCACGTACCGTCAGATGAGCCGCATGCTCGTTTGCCCCCTCTTCTATAAAAAAATAAGGAAAAATTGTTAAGATAATGAACTATATTAATAATGAAAACTTTGTATCAACTAAATTTAATTCCCACTAAAAAGGCGAACGTGACGAATGTAGAAATAAAGTTATCATGTTAAAGAGCTACGGTTTTATAGTGCTTGTTGCCTTTTTTTATTCACTATTTGAAATCATTAATCTTTTATCTAAAGCTCTACAGCATGAACATAATGACTTACAGAAAGCTAATATTTTACTAATTCTATTGAATAGACTGAGTGAAATAAGAAACCAACATTCATTTCATGGTTTGCTGAGCGAGTCCAGAGATTATAAAAGAGTGGTGTGTAAAAACCGCTTTCAAAAATAAAGGAAGATGATATAACGAAGCGTTTTTTTAATGAAGAATATCAGAAAGTGAAAGCATTTCATACCCAGAATCTTACTTCAAAGTAGATGTGTACTACTGCTTTTTATATATATAAATGTCTCAAACTAAACAAAGATTTCAGAGCCTCTGAGACCTAAGTAATATATTTGAAGTATTACAACTACTTCGAAAACAATATAGATATTTAGGTAACACACGAGCTCACTGAAAGAAACCTAAGGAATGGTGTACTCATTTGCGATTCCCTATTGGAAAGTTATAAAACCGAACCATTTTTGCAAAGATTAATCACCGGTGATGAGAGTGGATCACCTACAACAAGATCGTGCGAAAAAGGTCAAGTCTACAGACTAGCGAAACCCGGATTAACACGCAATAAAGTGATGCTGTGTGCATGGTGGGATTAGAAGAGCATCGTTTATTATGAGCTTTTACATCTGGGTAATAACATCGCTATTCGGATCTCTAGTGCCAAAAACTAGTAATAGTCAAACAAGAAAATGAGAAAAAACGACCGGAATTGAGCAACAAAAAGGAGTGGTCTTTCATCGTGATAACACCAGAGCACACATATCTTTAGACACTCAGTAAAACTTGAGAGAGCTTGGTTTGGGGAGTGTTAATGCATCCACCATATAGTCCTGACCTTGCACATTCAGATTTTCACCTGTTTCAGTCTCTTGAATTTTTTGGAAAGTGCATCAAGAGAGGACTGTCAAAACTACTTGTCGAATTTTTTGAACAAAAATCCCAAAATTTCTACAGTAACATGATCAAAAAATCGGGATGGAAAAAAATTATCGAACATAATATTTTAATTCATGCGAGCGGTTTTGGGCCTTTCATTAGGGCGCCTCAACAAATTTTGATACAGGGCCGGTCTAAGGCACGCTACGCCACTGTGTGAACAGTAACATTCTGTGCACGCGACGGTGCTGGTCAAAATGTGCAATAATTGCCGGTTGCGCAACCAAGTGGTCGATTAGTAAGTCCAATCCCTAGAGCTGTATACATTTTATTGGCTGTGCGACTTATTGCGCCAGTATGAAGTCTGTGTACCTAAAAGGAGCCTTACACCGTCACCACACGGTATTTTTACATTAAAATAGATATTAGATAATATCATGTACTCAATCAGCCCTAAGACAGATGAAGTTGGAAGAGCCGCATAGTCTAACGTCACAGAATAAAGCTAAATTAAAGCTGTCAAGTACTCATTAAAGGAAACTTTTTCAACGCCTTCCTTTTCTCGATGGTTGACATGAGTATGCGCCTATTTGGTTAAAATAAATTCAAACTATTAGAATGAATTGGCTAGTAATTACAGCCCTTGTTATATCAACAGGAATGTAGTCTAAATAGTTACGTTAAAAATACAACATTAAAATTTATTTTAGTTGTAGCTCTCGGATTGCTCTCATAATAAAGATGAACTTTCTGCGATGAATCTACCGTCGTTCTACAATATATACATAAAGATAACTTAAAAGTAGTTTATAATCTACGAATTTCTCTTAAATAAAAGTGCTTTTAACAAATATATAAAAGTTCAAGGAACTACAATTCAGCACTTAAATATAATAATAAGTAAAACATTAAATAAATAAAGTGTTCTATGAATTTTAGTAAGGGTATTGGAAGCCTCCCTCTACCCTTCCATGCAGAAAATATTATCCTCCTGAAAACTTTGTGTCTCCAACTCCACCTGAGAAAAATTTCCAAAGTCTGGCGGTAATTCAACAGGGTAAGGTCTGTGCTTTCTTTGGCGTTCGAAAATAATGTTCGGTACGCCCATACTAATGACCCTAATCATGAAGAGTATAATAGTGTTACGACCTTAGGGTTTGTGACAATAAAAACTGCCTATTTAATTACCAAAATTGGCACTTTAATTACCGCATACCAATTGAAACTTAAAACACACTAATAATTAATCACACTGTTCACTTTATTGCCCCGGTCGCAGCCCTAGGGCTTCATATAGGCCTTTTCCACCGAAACATCTAGAATGTTCCAGCAAATATTGGTCCCGACCGAGTAAAAAATACGAGTATGGAGTTTTCTAGAAAGGTTAGTTCTTCTATTCGATACAAGATTGCGTCATGTACCAGACATCAACCGTGGCACGCAACAATAGGAATATAAGAAAGTGGAGTAGTGAAAGACTAATAAATAAAAATAAGGTTATAAAAAATAATTTAATAAAATCTTTACAAATGGACGGATTAAGTGCACATATTTAAAGCTTAAAGTTCAGACAAAATAAATATAGATGATACGCACATCAATTCGACGTACACGTCCAGTAATCAATTACAAAATTGTTTATACCACTTTAATGCCTTATGGCCAGATACTCAAACGCTACTCAATTTTAACATGTCGTTAAGTCTCGTGGTGTCACAGTCCCTTTGACTTTAAGTGATAGGGACAGCACGAGACTTAACGCTATCTTAAAATTAAGCAGCGATTGAGTGTTTGGACATCAGGCTCCTAAAATTATAAAAAATACAAAGTGACAAAACATTTTGAAAGAAGAGTATTGTGTAGACTTGTACAATAATAAATACTTATCTATAAAGTATATATGGATGAAATATTATAATTAACCACGCTTATGTAATATAAAATCCCATGTATCCTTCCATCTAAGATTCATAAGATCGCTTTCAGTCAAATCAGTATTTCCATAACTGAGAACACTAAACTTATTAAAAGTAAGTACAACATAGGCCAACCAAATGGCTACAACCATTACAAACAAATTGGTAAAAGCTCGCGTATTTTCACGCAATTGTAGTACATAGTATATATGATCAATTACAAACGCTAAAAGCAATATCTTAAACATATAAGCGGGTAAATAGTGATGAAGAAATAGTGTTCGATCCATAAAGAAATATGGAAGGTAATGAAGCCAATATCCCAGGAAAAGAACGCACCCAGCATTGTAAAATTTCTGCGAAGCTTGTGGAGGTAAATCATTACAAGTTCGTCGTTGTCTTACTGCGTATAACGCTAATAAGCCACTATAAAATAGAACTGATAACGATGCCGCATACCACGTCACTAGGTTTCCAATTAAGTGTATTTGCGCCTGTGGACAAAGGTAATTATAATATATAATATAATCTATAAAAATATTTGTATTAACATAGACAAAATGAATAAAGAAAGCGTTAAGTGTATAAAATATTAAATTTGTAGTGGTCGCGTAACATAATAAATACATCCACTTATTTTATCACATGGCTGTCGAAAGAGGCAGCTACGAGAAATTCTAAAAATATATCATGGGTTTTAATAGACGTCAGTTTTACCATTTCGTTTATCATTATCATCATTACAGCTCTTCACAAGTCCACTGCTGATATTTTCCTCTCATTTCATCTCTCATTAAGTTTATGGTAAACGTTAAATACCGAAATCGGCGACCGAAAACATCAAATGTGTGAAGCGTCTAGCACTGCGATCACTAATCCGCTTGCCGAGCGTGGCGGTTACAACAAATCTTTCCTACAACGAAAGAGACCCATGCCCAGCAGTGGACCCTTACGGGCTGTTGAAGAATAGTAAGAGCCCACATATTTTTTGGAGATGCCAATAATGAAGCGATTTTATAGAGCCGTGGTAGCTCAGATGGTTAACGCTCGCTGTAAATATAACAGAACGCGAGTAACCCGGGTTCGATTCCCGCCGGCACCAATGAAATTGTTAATTACAATTTTAAGTGCTGATTTACCACGTGATCGGCGGTGAAGGAAAACATCGTGAGGAAACCTGCATGTCTGAGGAATAAGAAAAAAATATTTCGAAGACATGTGAAGTTCGCCAAAACGCATTGGGGAGCACGGCGGACACTTCCTTGCCCTAAAACCCTCTCAGAATTTAGGGGAGGCCTCTGCCAGTAGTGGGACGTATATATAGGCTGTAACTTTACTTTTTTTAAATATGAGCTCATTTTTATGATTTTACAATATTTATATTGGTATTTTACAGTACAAACATAAGCTATACAGCTTTACCGTATACCGATGCCATCAACATACATAGCATGATAATTATTATGCCTAATAATTATGTCATACATCTTATTGTGATGCACGCATTGAAACGCGCTCCCCCGTTACAGTCAATAAACCGGTTTGCTCTCGGTGGCGTTATTTGCCTACCTGGCTTGCCGCGTCGAGTTCGCATGTACAGGCAGTTCAAATAATTTGATACTAATTAATGATATTAAAGATAAACTTATTTTATATTATTAATTATTATTGTAAGTGTAACATTAGTTTTTATAGGATTAATGTGTAGCTTATAATGTATTATTTTTATTTTACAATATAGTTACTTAAGAAGTAATTCTTAAATATATTTTTGATGTTGCGTTGATTAATTTGTTTTTTTAGTTGTGATGGAGAGTTTGTTTATGATATCGGGAATCATGTACTTTCTAATGTTCATTTTCCATATAGATTTATGTATTTTGGTAATGCTAAGGTAGGTTTCTTTGACTGTCGTGTGTTAAAATTATATTGTATTGGAATTTGTATATTTTTATTAAAGTAATTTTCAATAAGTAATATATATATATACTTTACTTTATTATGTACAGGTAATATTTTACAGAATTCAAAGATATTATGTTGTTGGTCTTTGAATTTGTTTGTAACACTTTTTGGTACTAGAGTTTTTAAAATACGGAGTTGTAAGGTGTAAATTCGGTCTAGGTGTGTTTTATAGGTCCTACCATAGCTAGAAAGACCATACGATATTATAGATAATAATACTAATGAGATATATAATTGTATTCTTATATCGTATGATATTTTGTATTTTATTAATGTGAATTTGGCCAGAATTCCTCGAAGTCTGTCGCATATATGGTCAATATTTGCCCTTTCCAGCTAAGGTGACTATCGATTATAAGCCCAAGGTAAGTATGTTGTTCCACTACATCAATTTTATTATTACACAATAAAAATCCCCTTGGTCCTTCATTGCTAGGACCATACCTCGTGTTCTAATAAAAAGTCCAGAAAACTCAGCTCGAGTTACAAAATCGTTTTCAGTGCCTAGAAAACCGCAATGCAGTGGACGATATAAATGACAAGCTCGTGGAAACTGTCCATGCGATCGGAGATAAGTTCTATAAGACCCGCCGCAGAAGAACACAAAAACTCCGATTACGCTCTTAATCTTATGGTGTTAAACGGGAAATGAGAGCTGCAGTCTTCAACAGATTTGACAGCATACATATTCTTCAAATGCATGCGGCAAGACTTACGCAAATTCAATACAACTCGTATTGAAGTAGCGATCGTGCGGAACTAGGGTTTCAATTTCTTTGCCAGAGATCTGTCTGCCAGAAAGAGCTAACTGACGAAGCTGAAGACCGAATGTGGCAGCATTGTTTAATGGACACCAGAGATTTTAAGTGAGATTCAGAGGTTCTATGGACAGTTGTACACACCATCATCGTTGGAGCCACACACAAGTGTGAGTAACGATCCGATATTATTCCGATGATATTCCGGACGTCAGTCTGAGCGAGATTAGAATCTCCAGCACCTTAAAAACGTATGTCCCCGGGCGATAATGGAGTTACAGCAAAGCATCTGAAAGCAGGTGAAAAACCGGTATTTGATGTCATTCAAAAGCTCTTAACACCGTTCTCCATGGTGGCACTACTCCGGAGACGTGTAGCAGAGGTGCGGTGATATTGGTATTTAGCACCATAGACCACATACATACTCTGCAGCAAATTGTACAGAAGTCCTTTTAGTACAATCTGCCAACATGTCTTACGTATGCGGACTGTAAGAAAGACTTTGATTCCGCAGAAATTTGGGCAGTGGTGAAGTGTTTGTCCAGTAGAGCTACGATGGCTATCCGAGTACAGAACCAGTTTACGAAACCCTTCGAACTGCAGAGAAGTGTAAGACAGGGTGACGTTATATCCCCGAAACTCTTCACCCCTGCATTGGAAAACGTTTTCAAGCTTCTGGACTGGAAAGGATACTCGCTTTCGGTTTTCCGACGATAAAGTCCTTACGGTAGAATCGCTGGAGGACCTAAGCAATATGTTCAATGATTTCAATAGTGCTTTCCAACGGATAGGTCTTAAGATGAACATGGACAATACAAAGATCATGTGTAACACCTATGCCGGTAGTTGTTGGGAGCACTAAACTCGAATTTGATGACGAGTATATTTATCTTGGACAAGTAGTCCGTCTAGGTAAGTTCAACTTCGACGGAGAGGATGCTCGACGGATTCAACTCGACTGGGCAGCGTTCGGGAAATTACGACACATCTTCCGAAGAACTGACAACCGATGGGAAAAAAGTTTTCGAGTGGCAGCCTCGTACCGGTAGGCGAAGTGTAGGGCGACCCCCACTAGATGGAGTGACGAACTGGTAAGTCGATGGTTGCAGGTGGCACAGCACCGTGCTTTATGGCATTCTTTGGGGGAAGCCTATGTTCAGCAGTTGACTTGCGAAGGGCTGTGATGATTATGATGATACTTTGGCTGGGGTTTTTTGATGACTTGTGATGTGCTGTAGTATTTGTAGCAGTAGCAATGGGTCCCTATTAAACATTATATAATAATTTTTAGTTTTCTTTAGTTTAAAAAAAACGTTACCCCTTCACTAGGATTTTCTCCTGCATCGTGGGGGCAGTTTACAAACATAAATTGCACAAGGACAAACGTCCAGACCCGGAACAATTATTTGTAGGCCATACAAACACTTATTACAAAGATATGATAAAATATAAGAGAATGTCAAAGATAAAAAGTACCTATTAATATTGTGGAAAATTATAATCTATAATTAAGTATGTCCACCCAACTCTACAGCAGCTGGAATTTCTATAAAGTGGAAAGGAAAATAGGTATTTAATTTTGGTAAATTCCCGTGGGACGCCCATTACAATAAATATTTTATGTAAATCTAGACCGATTACTTATAATAACTTTTTTTCTAATATAACATTATTTATTCCGTGATCGTGGTAACGATTTATTGAAGGTAATAAAATCTTACGGCTATTCTAATCGACGTTACAACACCCAGGGGATTAGAAAAGCATGGGCGTAGCTACGAAATGTCATTAGCACGGTCGCAACCTTTCTCATGCCTCATGTTCGACTGCAGACTGTTCATTGGCTGTTGAATATTTACTGCATCCAATAACTACCACTGCTTCGAATTTCGTTTTAAATGTGAAATAATAAAATTTCGTCAACACATGCGTACCTATATCGTATAATTACTACATTTTAATTTTTTTTACGCTACTTAATCTAAACTTTAAATGAAATTTATTCGGCTAAATCTCTCCCACATAAATTTGATTTTACGTTTTTTACAATAATAATAATGAAAAAAATTTTATTTCAGCCAAAGCCCATAAAATGGTTAGTAATATTATATTTATTTTATATTTAGTTAGTTAAATTGCTTCAAATAAAAAAAAAACAAATATATATTGATGAGGCAGTCGTAACGCGACCTAACGATTCTTACGTCACTCCCAACCTCTAATCGATACGGCCGTCGCGTACAACCGAATATTCTAAACTAAATTGGCACGGCCGCCGCCCGCTCAACTCCACGCGTCAAAGCGGTTCCTCCGCCCGAGACGAGCGCTCCCGCAAGTCTCAAGTTGTTACAATTTGGCCTAAATAAATCCCCGTCCCGGGCATAAGGGCTTATGCCCGCGAGTAAATTGGCAAACGGGATAGGGTCGCGACGGCACGTTGCAAGACCGAATCTCCAACCAAAACCTCGGCCACCCTAGGCACCCCATTCGGTCCATACGACAACTTCATGCATCCACGGCGCCAATACAAAGGCAAAGCGTTAGGTTCTGTAACTAACACGAGGTCTCCAACCCGAGGAGAATCCGTCTTGTCAGACCACTTAACGCGCTGCTGCAAAAGATGTAGGTACTCCAGAGACCATCGGTGCCAAAAATTCTGAGTCATTTGTTGCACGGTCAGGTCAAATCAAATCAAATCAGGTCAAACGCGAAGAGTTTGTTTCCCTGAAGGAGTACTCGGGCAGGGCGTTAAGCGGCTGGCCAATCAGGAAGTGGCCCGGGGTTAGAGCCTCCAAATCATTCGGATCGGACGAGAGGGGACAGAGGGGCCGAGAGTTGAGTACCGCCTCAATTTTACAGAATACAGTGGCAAGCTTCTCAAATGTCAAAATAGTTTCGCCAATAACGCGACGGAGATGCGTTGCAACCTTAAAACACCGCCTCAAAAATAGCGCCCCAGTGTGGGCAAGCCGGAGGGTCGAATTTCCACTGGATGCCCTTCTTGGACATCGCAGTACCTAAATAAGTCCTGTTGCCGGACAGAAATTCGACGACCTCTTTCAAATATCTATCCGTGACCTTATAATTTGTTCCGCAATCAGACTGGATCAGGTACGGCAAACCGCGACGCGATACAAAGCGGCCCAGAGTGGCCACAAAGGCTTCAGTGCTGAGGGCACTTACAAGTTCTAAGTGAACGGCTTTAGTGGCGAGGCACACGAAAACGCACAGATAGGCCTTATGTGAACGCGCGTTACGAAGGTTGGATGACTTGACGAGGAAGGGGCCAGCAAAGTCGGTTCCGACTCCAGCGAATGGTCGAATGGCCCTGACGCGGTCGGGTGGTAAGTCACCCATCATTGGCTGCGATATGGTAGCCTTCAGTTTATAACAAGGTATGCACTAAAAATGCGGTGGTCTGGCCAGAAAACTCCCGCTGTAAAATAGCCGAAAGAGCGTTACACCTAGCGTGGTTCTTTCTGAACATGATGGTGAGTTACCAGCAACCGAACAAAGGCGCCGTCATTAGGGAGCAGTAACGGGTGTCGAGCCCCGTACGGCAGTTGAGAATTTTTCAAAGGTCCGCCAACGCGCAGCATCCCGGCGTCGTCCAGGAAGAAGTTCAGGCGGGCCAGAGCGCCCTTGACAACCCCGTTCAAGGTTATTTCACGTCCAATGGCGACTCCCGACGACGCCCAGGGCCTCGCCCTCCAGTGAGGCCAGGAGGTACGCCATCTTCTGGCTTGGTGTCAAGTCCCTCCGGGCGTCCACTAGGCTGTCAAAAAGGCCAACAAAGGTCAGCCAGTCGGAGAGGACCCCAGAGAACCTTGGCAGGTCCAGAGTTGGGAGTCGTCCCAACAGCTCAGAGTAGGCTTGAGAGGCTCGGAGGCTAGTCAGCCGAGCTTCACGCGCTTCACTAGCATACTTGGCCCCCACCTCAATCAAGTCGTCCGAGAGCGAAAAGAATTGCTCGTAGTCCGCGAGGCAGGAGTCTAGGACTCCCTGTTCCGCATCCGAAGTCAAAAGCTCAGTGCAAGCCTCCTCCACTACGGCCCTTCGGGCCATGACCTGCTCGAGCCGCTTCTCTAAACTATGGACCCGATCGGGTCGCCCTATTAAGATATGGGCATTCGCGGCCCAGCGCAGCTCCGCCTGCAGGCGAAGCGCCGGTGGCTTGTGCGATGGCATCACTACTAAATACAAAATACTATTAAATTAAATTAAATACAATTACAATACACGGCAAGTACACACTACAGTCGGTCAGCAAGGATGCCCCGCACAGGAGGCCGACCCTTCGGCAATTTAATCTACTTAACCGGAATATCGGAGGCGTAGGTACCTAAGCCTAAACTACACTCTTGCTTGCGCAGCCTAACGGGCGTGGTTCTAACCACCGATCCGCTACCAAACAAAAAAAAAATTATATTACGGCCAGGCGTGATTAGAGAAACAATCAACCACGCTCTGCTACCAGAAAATGTTACGGCCCTCAGTTGCCCCGACAAGAGTCGACTGGGCTAGGGCCCATAGTAACCCAACTCGACAAGCAACCGAGGGTGCGGGCCCAAATGGCCTATGGATAATTATTAGGTAACTCTGGACAAGCAACCACAACTTACCGAGTTCCGGAGGTAGGGTCGACCACAAGGTACCGTCAGGGGTAAGTAAATGGTAGGTGTGAGTGGTGTAGAAAGGTGTGTAATGTAACCTGACGTCACCGATGTAATCGGCTAGCAGACACACATGCGTTGCCCTGCTCCACAAGGTGCAATCACTCCAGAGGGCATTCACCGTGATCTGAATTCAAGTCTAACGTCACTTAGCACAAAACTATAATCGAACGCGATCTCCTCCCGGGTCACAAAGTTTAGCGTTCCACACGACAAAACGAAATTCCTTCGTACGATATTAACTACACAAGCCACTCGTCGACGCAAATTAATGGCCATCGAAGATAAAGTAATCACTCAAACTCAAAGAAAGCCTCGTTGTCACATATACGTACAAAATAAGACAACGCAAAAAATGAGGCAGTCGTAACGCGACCTAACGATTCTTACGTAACTCCCGACCTCTAATCGATACAGCCGTCGCGTACAACCGAATATTCTAGACTAAATTGGCACGGCCGCCGCCCGCTCGGCTCGACCCGTCAAACCGGTTCCTCGCCCGAGACGAGCGCTCCCGCAAGTCTCAAGTTGTTACAATTTGGCCTAAACAGACTCACTCAAAACGACTGTCAAATAACAACTACGCGTCCAAAATGGCTGGAATTCTATTGCGTAACTGTCAAAAGATGCACAGCTACATTCACTAGTTTTTATTGACGAGTGCTGCCATCTTCACGTTGAGGTCTGAAACTTTTCAGACCACCCTGGTATATGCAGAATAGACTCCACCTATCGCCTGAACGGTGTGATGTTAAAAACGACAGTCATATTCTAAAGAACATGATGTGTACTTACGTTGGAATGTGGCGATAGCCAATAAGCGATCGATCTAGCAAGTAGCGGCCACTCGGTCGGTTCGCTCGCAAACATGTGTCCAGTGGGCGCGTCCGCCGCGTGCGCAATCATCTTATACTGCAGCTCCATGAACTTCGCCCAGAAAGTAAGCTGCGTCGCCGCCGTCGGAATCATTTCGGCCGAAACTAGTTCGCGTTCCCGTTCGCGTCTGTCTTCAGCTGTTAACAGTTTCGATAATTTTGATTATTTGAAATTTTAGAGTACTAACTATTACTAACAATAATGTCGGTCCTGTGGTCGAAACTCGACTTCTATTTTATAGTTAACAGTGAATATTTTGTTCACTGTAGACCATGAAATCATAGCAATAATTGAATTGCAGCATGTCGCGGAACTTTTGTTGAGCAACGTTGTCTGTCCATACATTAATCAGTCGTCGACAACATGTCGCCTGAAGAGCTAGAGTTGTTACAACCGCGATTTATATTATTTTAACGATAAAAAAACACTATATAAAATATGTTAATGAACGCTGTATAGCCAATGGCTTTTTGAGTAATTTTATCTGAATTAGTACCTATGGGTATTTTTATATAATTACTTCGGTTAATTTAATTGACAATATGATGGAGCGCAGGTATTCCCAGAGAGCAATAGTACATTGTAGATTTTGCATAGAACAAAAATTCTGAACAGACTGGACTTCTGACCTACTACTTTCACATAGGTGTAAATTACATTTAAAAAAAAAACCTTTAGTATAGCGATGTTCCTCAACATTCCATATTGTATCTTGATGTGTTACGACTTTATCGGCGACGACCTCGTGCTGGTGGAAGCCCCAGGAAGGCAGTTGACGTCCACTAAAACGTAGCGCCGAGCCGGAGTCCATGTGTATCAGGCGGACTAGTGACCTGATACTGTCCCACGTCGAGTCGTCACTGTCGCGGTTCACAATCTCTACTCGCCAGAGGTTCTGAGCCGGCATTGATACGTTGTAGTCAATATAGCAAGACACCTCCTGTATAGCACAAGAACAGATTTATATAATTAAACTTGGATTAACTTAAAACAAATACTGAGAACTAAGAGCACATACGCATTATGCGATTCCACGCATAATGGTCAGCCATCAGGTCAACTGCAAACCAATCGATCGGTCGGAGAGCTGTGACCCGAGTACCGGATGGGTGCACGGTTGCTATTCGCTCTGTGTGTTTTGCTTACGGCTACCCTCGTTAAGTTAGGTTGTGTGCACACATAATATGTGTAGTTACAAATATTAATACCCAATATTTCTGAAATAAGTTTTACATAGTTTATCCTCTCAACTGTACCGGCCAAAATGGCCGCTTTGGCGCATAATGTCCAACCCTAAACGGGTGATTTATTGCCTACGTGGCGCGTGTCATTAAAATGGCAATATCTTAAGAATGATGTATGGAAACTATATAAAATAATATGTTGTTAGAATTATTGTTAAGTAAGTTAATAGAATATGTGTAAATGTGAATGTTCACCTTTTTAATATTTTCTAAATTCCATGGTAAAAGTGTAAGAAGCGATTTTTTTCCAGTTTGTTGAATAAAAAGTGTAAAAAAAGCAAATATTTCAATAAATATTTATTTTATTTACTATAAAATAATACACTTTTTAATAATGAATAAAAAAACACAAGCGTACATTTTTTTACACCACAAGCTCGACAATAATGTAACAAAAGGCACATTTTGTACTTCAATACCGACAATTCCACACTGAGATAAGTAGGTTAATGATATTAAAACAATGTTGTACGAGTTAGAGGGAGATACCTATACATTTACTACGGCTGTTTCGTGTCTGAAGTTTATCCCCTCGTCTGTACAAACGCCATATTCTGGCGTCTCAAATAATATGCGCATCTGTCAAACGCCATAATATGACGTCGAGTGAAAGCAAACTATTTGTAACATATATATGATATATACAATATGTAACGTAATTAACGCACACCCTCAAACACCCCAATTAGTATATTATGTTATAATCATAATACATACACTGAATTTTTAGTTAAACATTTTTATGCACTGATTATTAATCAAATTAGTTATACTAATTCCGGAAGAATGTTGTGGTCACAGTACAAATCCACGAACGCAAAGACTTTAACGTGCTTGAAATAAAATTCATTTTTCTTTATTTTTATTGAATGACAGAATTGGTAATAATACAAATAAAACTGCACTCTTAAAAGTCTTATTGCCTTAAGTTACGGTCCATTTCAGTTTGTTTTGACTGTACAGATAGATTTAGTGTGACTGTAATTTACGTAGTTTTAATTATTTTTGGGATAAAAAATTACCTATATTAAAAATGATAGGAATCGATTCAGTAAACGATTATGAACAAACTACTTTCTCAAAGTGCATTAATTATGTTACGTGTTGTGTGTGTATATATATATATATATATATATATATATATATATATATAACATATATATCTGTTATGCATAATCTGATAGCTTATTTAATAACGTTTCCATTGATATATGATTTCAATATACTTAGTATATATATACATATATACTTAGTATACTTGTTATATACTTACTTAGTACTTCGGAAAGTGCTCGACAGATGCGCCATATTGGCCAAAATGATCCCGACATACGAGTGGTTTCTAAAGGTTGTGGACAGACAAGAGTATATTTTTCGATTGCAGTCAATTGGACGGCTGTCCACCCCGCAATGCGAATTTGTCGTTAGACAAAATGCCCTCCAGATTGTAAATATACTGACTGACTCTCCATATCCATCATATCGCAACAAACCAGTGGCCAGTCAGTAGTATATACTGATATCTGGTGGATATCTAGTCAGAAAAGAACTTTTTCCACCATATATGTAACTAAAACAAAATACATTTATAATATTTATAAATGATTAGAAGCTTATATACGTTACCTGCGATTGTGGCGAAACAGGTGCGGCAACATCGTGAGAGTTTAGCGCACGACTTGTGATACCATGAAGTAGTTGCACAACATCACCATGTCGGATTGTGTCCGGAGGATTTGTCACTGCCAAGGATGCTTGATCAGGGCGTTTCACAATCCACCAATTATTAACGTCTTTAAAACTGTAGCATGTTACTTGTTGCTGATGCGATGAGCCTCTACCATCTGTATATCGTACAGGATATACATGTGCATGGGAGTGCAACCAACATGTCCGACCATGTGAATGCCTACAAATAATTCAAAATACACTGTTCCATACATAGAATTATATAATACACACATAATAGAACGGGGGTGTGGGCGGAGCCCGTGTAGCCACTAAAATGCTACAAGACGTCAATTCGTCGTTAAACGACAACACGAGGTGTGTTTTGACGTTACAATCGTTTCCAAATTTCGCATGTAAATTATTTAGAAAATGCCAAATTGCAGGCTATTTACAAATAATAATGTATTAAAATCCGTCTGTCAACACAGCGAATCGGGTTTGTAGTAGTGATTAAATGATAATACGACGTAATTGCTTGTATGTGTGCTCCCGGCGACGCCGAACCTCGGTACAAAATAAGGTTGACAGCCATTCTATTGTGTATTATAGTAATCTATGGTTCCATACTTTCAATTACTCAAAAAATTATTGATAGGTTCTTCTCCCCTTAAGTAAATATATTTCTCCTTAATTGTATCCTAGCAACTGGGACGCTAAACATCTTCATATGCAAAAATTTTAAAAAACTGGAGAAGGTTGTTAACTTTACTATTCTAATAAAGTCATTTTCCACGTTATATCTTTAGTTAAATAGTTAAAGTTACAGCCTATATACGTCCCACTACTGGGCACAGGCCTCCTCTCATTTCTGAGTTTTAGCAAGGAAGTGTCCGCCGCGCTGCCCCAATGCGTGTTGGCGAACATCAAATGTCTTTAAAATATTTCATTTCTTATTTCTCAGATATGAAGGTTTCCTCACGATGTTTTCCTTCAGCGCCGAACTTGTGGTAAATCAGGACTTAAAATCGCAATTAACAATTTCATTGGTGCCGGCGGGGTTCGAACCCGTGTTGCTCGTGTATTTTGAAATCTACAGCGAGCTCTGAGCACCTGAGCTACCACAGTTCTAAATATTTAGTTAATAAATAAATGAAAATAAAAAAATATTCCTTTCTAAAATTATACAAAACCACAAAATTGAACACCGTTAAGTAAATATACATGCGTTCATGCACACACGTGTATCCACAACCACGCTCATTTTTCTGAACACCTCCTGAGACGTCGTCTAGTAAGTTTGCTGAGTAATTAAAAAGTACAAAAATAATACTAAAGTGATCAAAAACTCTGAAGGAATATCTTTTCACATGCAAGCATTTATTTAAGTGTATATGTTTTGTCATTTTAAAACAATTGTATGGTTTTTCGGTCAACGTCCCGAGATGACGTATCGGGAGAGTGCTGCCAGCATTTCCAATTTCTAATAGCCCAAGATTTGAGTAAGTAAATTGTAGGTAAAGTCATAGAAATATAATATACATATGTAGTGAACATAATTCTATATTTTTTTTAATCATGTGTTATTATGTTGCATCAAATTTAGTTAAGATAAATATTTATTTTTTGACTCGCCTTTGTTTTTGTTTCAATTTTTAAGTACTTACATACTAGTTTAATATCAAATATGTATGGTTTTAGGTTTCCAACGAATATTTTAATAAGAGTTGAATGGGTAGTTACTATAAGACAGCCGAAATGAGCCACAATGGGAGCCATCTCATCATCATCTGGTGTGGTTTGTTGAGACCATTTTGATAAGGCTGACATGTACGATACAAAACGTGAACTTCGCTGAGTTTTCAGAACAGGACATCCAAAAAAGGCATGTTTTTCGTATTAAGTTGTTTTTATAATAAACATGTTTCACATCACATTTATTGTAATTTTTATCGCTGCTCAATGGACGAAACATCAAGAAGAGTTTTTTTAAATGATCCTAAGACGCCTCCTACGTTCATCATCTCTTTTTGAATTGTGAAATTGTTAAAATGTATTAAAACGGGGAAATTTACTTTCGCTTATTACTATTAGTAGAACACTATCTCAATTTTCAGGGACCTTTTTTTAAATGTTTAAAAATTACTCTAACTCACATAAAGTTATAAAATTAGCGACAGTTTCTTATTCTATGGAAATAAGGTCAACTTTGGACTGTACGTCCCAAATCGTAATAAAATATATTAATCAGCGAAGGGGTTTCAATGTGAGAGTTTGTTTGAAATTTTGTTATGTCCATGTCACATAGATAGTTAGAATGTAGGTAGGTGCTACTTTGACATTCCAGGTTTCCAGGAACAATTTTTAAATGTAACGCAGACCTAAATGACGCGTTACATAATCAAGGTGAAGTCCGTGGATAGTTTTAACGATCATTGATGACTTAGTTGCTTTAGTTACCTTAGTGTTATCTGTGATCCATGGGAAACGTGCAAAGGTTGACCTCTAGTTATACTTGCAAGCCCTCCTTGAAGCGACGCTTGAAACGCACTTGTCATCACACTGTCGTGAGGACCAGCTTTCGGTAGCATTGTCAAATGTGCATAAAACACGCCAATGTACACCGTCAGAGGTAAAGCTATTAGGACTAATAACCTCCAACAAACTGACAGAGCAAGACGCAAACTGGACTCATCATGACCAACACGTCGCCACATTTGTCTGCCCACTAGAAACAGTGCTAAGTAATATGTGTAGATGCCTGAATATTTCACTCTGAAATCAAATAATGACATAATAAGAATCAAAAATAAATAATAACGCACAAAATGTTTGTTATTTAGGCTTTAATGCCATTGTACAGTTGTTATAAATGGTATATTATAACAAAAAAGGCGACGAGAGTGGAGGGGGTTGATAACTTCGCGTTGAGATAGTTATTGCCATCCATTTTAGAGTTTCCTATTAGCAATAGCGACTGTAGAAAGTCAACTTGGCTTAGGCCACTGAGTATTTTACTTCTGACGTAAACGAGATCGTTATAAAAAAATGATCAGAAGCCATTCTAGCATTTCCCATAGTCGATTCTTACGATACTCTTGGAGCGAATCTCAACAGTTTAAGCATATTTCAGGAATGTACCTGTGTTTTTCTTTCATAAGTTTTCTCTGGGCCTAGTAGACAGAAAATCACTTTTGGCCGAAATAGGTAACAGGTGAGGTGCCCAAGAATCATTTAAATTCTTGTTAATATTAGACAATCAACATATTTACTTTCTTAATTTTTTATGTATAAAATGAAGGATGTTGAAAAGCCTCTTTTCATTTCTGGATGGCTTGGCAGGTAGAAAATACGCTCAAATATATCATATTGTTCTTAAATTTATACTAACTATTTTTAAATATATGTCCATTATAATTTCTCTATATAATATGCGACCATAGATTTATTTCTTTCTATACTGTAATACAGCTAAGTCTTTTATACTGGAGTGGATTAAAAAAGATTAATAATGACATTTATTAAAAAAATTGTATTGAATTATTACATTAAGGCTACATCTTATTATGAAATCTAATAATTTGAAAAATGCTAAACATATTATAACCATAGAATACTATAATACATACATAATAGAACGGGGGAGTGAGCGGAGCCCATGTAGCCGCTAAAATGTCACTAACACGTCAATTTACACGTATAAATGTCAACATGAGATGTGTTTTGACGTTACAATCATTTCCAAATTTCCCATGCAAATTATGTAGAAAATGCCAAATTGCACGCTATTTACAAATAAATATGTATTAAAATCTGTCTGTCAACACAGCGAATCGGGTTTGTAGTAGTGATAATACGACGTTATTGCTTGTATGTGTGCTCCCGGCGACGCCTATCGTCGTACAAAATAAGGTTGACAGCCATTCTATTGTGTATTATAGTATTCTATGATTATAACCACATAATCAACCGGGTGTTGTAAGAGGCAAGAGAGGCTGAAACTGAAACAGGAGATGGGAAGCTGCATTATTCTGATGACTTAAAATTATAGAACCTGCGGTCACCAAGCCTTCTGCCAAGCATGGCAACTGTGGTATTATTACCTCTATGAGGAAATATGTGTTTATATATTTATAGGGCGAGGGCTTTGTTCAGCAGTGGACTTTTATAGGCTGTAATGGATGGATGGACATATTATTAGTAGGTAACAACACTGCTAAAACAAAGCGAGCAAGAAAAATATTTTTTTATACATAATGTTCTTCAGAGTGATCTTCAGTCAGCCAGTCTCAACGAGACTAGCCGCCGCGACTGAAGTTCGGTCTGGTCGGACAGAACTATAGTGCATGAGTGTGTGCGCAAACACAGCTCTGTACTTTTTATTTTCTGACTTATAATCCGATGGGACAGCAATGCATGACAGAAATCAGGCTCAGAATCAACGGCTTTCCGAGGGATATAACACCACCTACTTCCTGACTACAGGCTGCTACTGATAATTTCTAGACAGAAAAGCACAATAACTGATTTTAATCTGACCTGGGAGCTCATGATCTGCAGTAGCGCTTACGGCCAGTAGACGAGAAGCAGTAAATTAATTTCTTTTAGTCATACACACGACATCAGACAACAGTTTTAGAAATATTTAAGATGCATACTCACGAAAAACAACAACCAAGAGAAATAGCACCAATACAAAGCCATACAAAAGCAGCAGTACCATTTTTATATGTGCTTTTTATAACACAATATATTCCACATAAGCCAAACAATATTTGTATGCTTTCCAACAACATAAAACGAGACTGCGCTAGAAAGCAATTCTCTGAAATAATTAAAAAAATATTATACATAAATATACAAAAATCTTAGTAATTTTTTTCTTGAAAACAGAAACTACTTTTGCCGAAATGACCTTCAAATAAACAGCTGTTACCAAATGTAGACATTACTATCTTCTTTTTCGTCAGACCATAAAGGTTTACCTGCTGGACGCAGGCCTCACTTGTTGAGAGGATTTGCAAAAAATGGGCACCCTTGGCGGGCAGGTGCTGTCGTCAGTCTAGATATTTGATGTCTAATGTAAACGAGATGTTATATCACCTTCGATCAGAAGCCCAAAGATTTTCTCTATAGACTTCGCCTACCGGTACGAGACTGCCACTCGAGAACCTTTCTTCTTCCCCATCGGTTGTCGGATCTTCGAGCGAGATGGCCGACCCACTGCTACTACAGCTTACTAATCCAGACTATGTCAGTGACTCTGGTTATACTGAGGATACCCTCAATCACGCAGAGAAACCCAGACTCACCATAACTCGCTAAGCGACCTTGAGCTTCCTCATACGACCAGCAGTGAAGGGCCAAGTCTCAGATCCATAAGTCATCTCTGGCAACACGCATTTGTTGTACAATCTCTCTGTCTTGTAATCTGTGTTGTAATCTCCCGAAAGCTGCCCAGCCGAGTGGATTCCGTCGATTGATCTCTCGGTCGAAGTTGAACTTACCTAGTGTAGGACTATTTCTCTCAGGTAAACATACTCGTCAGCATCTTAGAGCGTAGAGCTCCCAAGTACTACCGGCATAAGTATGACATGGATGTTACACATGGCTTTCATTTTGTATGTTCATCTTAAGATCTATCCGTAGGAAAACACTATTGAGATCATTGTTTTTGACATAACTTGTTTATGACATAACCTTGTCTTACACCTCTCTGCAGTTGGTTAGGTTTTGTACACGTATAGCTATCGCAGCCCTACAGTAGAAACACTTCAGTACGTCAATATACCGACAGTCAACTTGGCACCGCTGTATGGATTGTAGCACCACCTAAATTTCGACGGATTCAAAGGACTTTTCATAGTCCACACACGCAAGGCAAAGTGGTACATTGTATGGTCTTCGGTCTTTTGTACAATTTTTTCTACCGCGGATTCTTGGATCGATTTAATTATTACATCTTCTAATAAAGTTGCGAGTTATGGTCAGTTCCCAGCTCCTGGTTTTTCGAACCATGACTTGTTATTTCTCTCATATAAATTAAAACCACCTTAACATATCCCTCATACAATACAGTTACGCAGCTATGCTCGATTAAATAGAGATAGCTTAATTAATGATGTGTCCGCCATTGATTGGTCTCCAGTGTTAAATACTGACTCAATTAATGATATGGTTATGGAGTTTAATTCTAAATTACTGAATATTTTCAATACACATGCGCAAGAACGCGAGGTTAAAATCAAACGTCCATCAGTACCGTGGATCACTAGCGACGTACGCCTGGCAATGAACAGACGCAACAGAGCTTTTATTACACATAAATCTTGTCGTACTATACAGAACTGGGAGGCCTTCAAAAAGGCTAGGAATCGCTGCAATCAGGTGGTGAGGTCTGCTAAACGCCGATCTTTTCATGACTTCCTAATTAATACTTCGCAATCGGAGACATGGAAGTTCATTCACTCTCATGGTCTCAGTAAAACTAAAAAACAAGTAATCTCAGATATTTTCTCATTAAATAATCTCAATGCTCACTTTTCTACAGCGGTTTGTCTCCCATCTCACATTAAAATGAAAACTATTTCGGATATTCATCCCTGCATACTGATTCTTTCTCTTTTTCTGCTGTCACTGAGAAGGATATTTTAAAAGTATTACAAAAACTTAAGTCAAAGGCAGTAGGTCATGACAACATAGGAAGAACCATGATATCATATGTTTCAGATTGGTACAATAATCAATTTTAACCTCCATTATAAACCGCTCATTGCTTACTGGGAAGTTTCCGATATGCTGGCAGAAGGCTTTTGTTCTCCCTCTTCCAAAAATCTCTATGCCCAGTGCTCTCAATCACTTCCGGCCTATCTCGATTTTGCCGTTTTTATCAAAAGTCTTAGAAGCTGTAGCGCTCAAACAGATACAAAATCACTTAACCAAAAGCAACTTACTGAATCAACACCAATCAGGATTTCGACCTGGACATAGCACTACAACGGCGCTTTTAAAAATAACAGAGGATGTGCGTGATGGCATTGGAGTTTGGAAAGTTGACGGTGTTAGTTTTAATAGATTTTTCTAACGCCTTTAATACCGTTGACCATGATATTCTCATCGCCATCTTGTCTTACATAGGTTTTTCCTTATCAGCACGGAATTGGGTCTCCTCCTATCTTCGTGGTCGCCAGCAGGCGATTCGGGTCGATGGTATGGTGTCCGATTGGGGTGAATTAACCACTGGTATTCCGCAAGGTGGAATTCTCTCTCCTTTGCTTTTCTCTATATTTATTAACATGATTACTTGTAATTTTCGTGCTTCCTACCATATGTATGCCGACGACTTGCAACTCTATGCTCATGCCGATGCTACTTCCATAAATAATGCTGTAACCGTGATTAACTCCGATCTTAACTGGATTCTTAATTGGTCAAGAAGGTATGGGGTCGCTGTTAATCCAAGCAAATGCCAAGCTATTGTCTTAGCAGTGCACGTCAATTAGGTAAACTTAATCATACATCGTTCGATCCTCTGATTTATAATGGCGAGGTAATTCCTTACAGCTCTCATGTTAGGGACTTGGGATTAACATTGTTCACTTACTTGGCGCAGTCATGTTGAGGAAGTTAGCCGTAAAGTTTGTACTACTTTGAGACAATTGTACAGATATAAAAATATCTTACAGTCTTGTACGAAGAAAATTCTAATTCAATCGCTAATTCTTCCTATGTTTGATTATGCTGATGTGTGTTACTTAGATGCAGACAAATACTTGGTCAATAAATTGGATCGGCTTCTCAACAACTGTATCCGTTTCATTTACGGTCTTCGAAAGTATGACCACGTCTCTTTCTATCGCTCTCAACTTAAATGGTTAAATATCCCACAACGCAAGAGCCTTAGAATTCTTAGCACTCTGTTCACTATTCTTAATGATCCATTGGCCCCAGAGTATTTGAAATGTAAGTTTCAATACCTGAGTTCTTCCCATGATTGCAATCTTCGCTCTCGTAACAATCTCGTGCTCCATACTCTCCTCTCACCGTACTGGTTTCCTCTCAAACTCTTTCGCTGTTACAGCTGTAAGACTCTGGAATGCGCTTCCCCTAGCAATAAGAAAATCCCCCAACAAGTGGATTTTTAAAACAAAGATAAAGGAACATTATTTGGGTTCATCTGACACATAAATATATAAATAATCTATAAAATTTAATCTATTAGATCCTTATATATATTTAATTAAGTTTGAGCTATTAGTATGTATGTGTGTGTGGTGTGCATGTGGTATGTGTGCGTGCAGGCGTGCGTGCGTGAGTGCGTGCGTGCGTGCGTGTGTGTGTATTGTGTGTGAAATTTATCAATTTTAGGTTTCATCCTAGCCCACTGCAGTACACACATCTCCCACTAACTTTCCGGTTGACTGGTAGAAAATGCCATATAGCATTACGTCCGCCGTTTGTACCTTTAGTACAATAAAGTGTAATATAAATAAAATAAATAAATATATGGTCTATGGTATTAAAGCCTTTTTGGAAACTGGCTTCTTCAGGGCACGGGAGGCTGGAAGTCGTCGAGTCTGCGTGCGAGACGATTCGTACTGACTCTCGAAAACAGTACGTAGACGTGGCTCAGAAGGGAAATCGGTCTAAAGTTCTTCAACAGAACGTTGTCGACTTTTTTTATAACAAGACCATCGCACTTTTGTTCCACGTGTCCGGAGTAGACGTGGAACAGAAGTGCGCGGTGGTATACCACATTCGGTCTTCAGCTTCGACAATTGCTCTTTTTGGAAGACAGATCTCTGACAAAGACTTTGGAGCCTTGATTGCAAACGATCGCTTCTATAATACCAGCTGTACTGAAGTTGAGTAAGTGCCGCTGCCTGTTCAGTTGCCTGTATGCTTCCATATCTGCTGAAGACTACAGCTTCATTTCCTGTCTAACAGCAATGAGATTAAGAATGTGATCGGTGTTTTTTGGTTCGAAGAACTTAGCTCCGACCCGCATGGACAGTTTTCACAAGCTTGTTATTGTTATTCATATCGTCCACTATATTGTCTTGCAGTCTTCCAGGCATTAAAAACGATTCTGAAACTCGAGATGAAAGTTTTCGGGGCTTTGGATTTGAGTTGGACGGGGCGTTAACTTCATTAGACGTGACCTCTCCAACTTAACGTTTAGGTTCAATGAGCCTCACACCATTCGGTTATCGCTGACAGTTTTCACACTCGCGATCGCTGAGACGTCACTGAACAATTGTCGCCTAGTGTCATAATGAAATTAATCTCATTTTTGGCAGATCGTCGGAGCTCAATCAGGTCCAATTTCTGCGAGGACGCTTCTGGAAGAGTTCATAATAAAGAGATTTCTTCAAGAAGCGGCCAGCTGCTGGCTTCTTGGGTTCCATTGCCCTGTTCCGAATTTTCCTACCTTCAGCTCACCTTTCTCTCTTGTGCCTAGTTTTGCATTGAAGTCTAAGTATAATGGGTTTTGGAGGAATGCATGGCTCTAGAGATATTCTCATACATTACCTCCCAACTCCTCATCGGGATGTGCCGAGATAGATGCGTAAACCTGTGTAACCTTTAGCTCCAGGATGTTCTCGACACTTCTTGGGTATGTGTGTTAAATGTTGCCAGGTCGAGTCGTCTTAGGTGACAACTGAACCTTCACTGGATATTTTTAGCATCCCACATTCTTAGCATGCCACACTGATACCATGACTGCCATCGTAGCCTGGAATAGCGGGTCCGCCGGGGACTGGGGACCCTTTCTTTGTAACTCTCGGCATGGAGTGTTAGGTTAGCATATAGTTACCACACTTGGCGAGCAGGTTGGTAACCGCATATTGTTTATTGTAATTTTTCTGTTATCATATGCTGCTCTGTTATATTATACTGCCCATATCCTGCATCAGTTTTCCTTCATCCCCTCTTATGACACACATGGAAAGATTCGGGGTAGTGGATATTCTTACACTACTACTATACAATATGGTCACTAGATTTAGTCCATGCATACTTATTTAAGAGTACAGTAAATAAGTTGGGCAAAAGACATCACATTGAAGTTATCATATCTTTGATTGTACTGTTTGTACTTATCTGATTTCAAAGCAAAGACAATTAAAGAAGTAACTGTTTTTCGCTATTTTTCTTGCTCTTTTTAGTGGAAAAATAGCGAAAAACACTCACTGAGTGAAAATGGGTGCAACCGATGTAATAGTATGGAATATTGTAAAAACAGGCTAAAAATTACATAAGCAGCAAAAAAATCCTTATAATCCATATTGCGGTGAAAAAGTTTGTTCAAGCATTTTAGGTCCACAAATTTTAACCTAAAAAATGCAGTGTCACAGATAAAACCTATTCCATTAAGTTAAAAGAGATTGTTCACTTTACGCCGGCCTTAGAACCTGAACTAATAAATGTTACAACCCATCAAAATTGTAATAAAGTGACATAACTGTCGTAATGTAGTGTAAATACCATATATTTAAACTACAAAATTGCAAAAGTAACTACTATTGCCAAATATTTGTAAATTAAGCCAATAAAATTTAAAAAAAATGCCCGTAACTTTTACCAACACACATGTTAGATTATAATATTACCATTACTATACTACACTATCACTATTCTTGTAGTTACATGCATTACAAACCAGTTCATTATAAACCAATATATAAAACAGTTCTTCTTACAAAGTAATATTTACTTTTACTGCTAGCCAAATTAAAACCTTTATTATACAGAAATATGTAACAAGTATTTTTTTAATTTTGTACTAAAAAAAATTATTATACTAAGTTTTTCACATTGTCATCCTACATTGTCCTACCCACGTTGTCATATGATTCTGAGCTATGTTCAAAATTCAAGCTCATCAGGAAGTGCTCGAAATTTGTGTAAACATGGTAAAATGTAAATAGTAATTACAAATTAAAAGTAAATTGTAACTTTTATTAGATAAGGCCCTGGTAGCACAGTGACTAAGATTTTGTTAGATAGTTATCTGGAAATATTAAACCCCTCAATATCAGGCTATCACAATATTAAATAGAAAGAAATATTTAATGAATTGAATTTCTTGAAAGAAAAGAAAATAAAACTATTAAAAAAAGTATTGATCATGTAATTAGAAGTTAAATTATAATAATTACATTACAAATTTGCTTTAGAACTTAATGATAGTTCAAAAGCAACTCTGCAAACCAAGCATCCTAATGGACATAGACAGACAGCCAGAGATGATAAATAGCGAGATTAAATAAAAGCATAATAAAGCACTTGTTATTTAGACTTACTTACCAAATAAAACTAAAACAGCTGCTAGTATAGCTGTCCACTGGTACATAGAGATTTCTAGCATTAACTGGTAAGACACACCCACAAGCAGACTGCCACTCATGGCAGGTATCATTCGTAAAGCTCTGATAGGGACAGACTCTGAATATGGTGATCCTATTCTATCAAATGTGAAGTTACCATTATAGCCACCAATTCTACCAGCCAGGTACAACAATTGTTTACCAAGTGGAGGATGGGCATCGAAAAAAAATACTCCTTTTGTATAAAGTGAAACATATCGGCCATAATGTAACTCATCAAATCTGTAAATAATATATACAAAGTTATTTAATAGAGTCATGTCACGTCAGGGCTAAGCACTCACTGCAAAATTCATAGTATGTGAGTAACTAGAGTACGGACCTAGCCAGGACTAAGAGATTTGTATGTTGTTGCTATTGTTTCCCAAATCAATAACTGTTGATTTGAAATTTTAATTACTGATTTGCCACATGATCAGCAGTGAAGAAAAACACTATGATGAATCCTGTGTCTCATAGTATTGTAATTTAGTGATTGACTATACTATCCTAACTGAAAGTATGTGGTGATGCAGCTGAAGATGCAGAGTACACTGACTTAACAAAAGCCTATTCACTGATAACTTAAAGAAGTTATCAGATGGAAAGACAGATGTTGGAAGCTTATTCCACTTTTTTGTCATATGCATGACTAACAATGAAACAGTTTGGTTTAGTTTGGTATAGTGGTAAGTCAATAATGAAAGGGTGGAAACCATTAAGCCTCTTAGCACACCTTTGCATTGAGTTCAAAGCTGCCATTAGTAGCATTATGCAGCGCCAGTTCATATATAGCAGCAATACTACATTCATAACCAGACTTAAGCTTTATATTTATTTTTTATTTTATTTATTTAACAAATTATAGATATATAAAAATATAGAGAAAGCAACTGCCCTAGCATGAAGTACTGCTGTGCTTTTGCAAGGACCTGTAATTTCCTTACAGCTGCTACAAACTTGGACTCAATGAACTGACCAAAGTTCAGGTTTAAGGAAATCTCAAATTTCAACAAATGAAGGCGATCAGTATATTCCAGTCATATATATCAGAAAGGAGCCAAGTTTAGGTGGCTATTTTTTGCAATGGTGTTTATTTGCTTTTTACACTTTGTTTAGGATGCCTTTAATTTCACAAGATTGGCATCATCCTATTCAGAAACTGCTTTAATTGCATGAATTACAAACTCAATCTTAGCTAGCTTCTCTTTCAAATTGGATTTGATCCCAACTGGCCCAAGCACTAATCAAGTCTAGTCTCAGATAATGGAACAACGCAGCAGACTCATTGTTTCATAATCCTCTCAGAAATGGAAGACCAGTGCCTAACAATATAGTGGCTCTAACATGACTTTTTTTTAAGAAATATGCACTAGTAATTTTGAAAAAATTAACATAAAAACCATCATATAACCTTCTTTAGGAGGGATAGTGCAATAATTCTAAATGAACTACTTAAAACAATTCGGTATACATACACTATATAACGTGGTTCTTCTAGATTGTATAAACGTGTCCAAAATGCTATTACCAGTAAAACCATTAATATAACATCAATTTCTATTTTTAGGTATAAGCCAGATGGGCCCATATTACATTTTTCGGGTGTTACTATTTTAGTGGGTTCAAGTTCATTCTCAGCAGGAGCTCCATCGCCCTGGTAAGAATTAAAATTTTAAATAGGTAATTTACAATACATAGAAAACAGAATATATTTATCTAGTATATTATTAAGGGTATTTCTAACCACTTCTCTTTCAACTTCTCTCTTTAAAGTAGATGATGATTTTTTGTGACTATTTTCTTCAAGTTCGTTGACCTCATTTAGTTTTCTTTTGTCTTTACGTTTTTTTGCATGATTGTCTAAATCCATAACTATGATAAAAGAACGTTATATTTCTACATATGTAGGAGATTGGAATTATTATTAAAATTTTACATAAATTGTGAAATAAACAATGTATGCAAATTGTAAAACCAAGTACATAATCAGTAATCTATGTGTAAAACGGTATTTTTATAGGTACTCTGGTACTCTTACTCTATGACTGTGAGTAATGACAGGTTCAGGTTGACACTTGACACTTGACATTTTTTCTATTTAACTGGCTTTACGGCTCTGGGTTCTAGCCATAGATAAAAGTTCTAGCCCATCTGAGCCTATCATTTCTTTCAGAAACTTCATTTTTATATATTTTTTCTTCACAATGTGCTAATGCGTCACATTGCGAAGTTTTTGGGGAATTTTGACAGCTCAACCCAACGGATAGTTGATGATGACAGCGACCCAAGTTCATAAGGCGACCAAGCGCACAAAATAACTTGAGGTTTATATCATTGCTTCAAAATGTTACAAAGGAAACGCAAAAAACCGAGGATAAAAAATGATCACAAAAAATAAGTGTAAATATTGAAAGCCTTGAGAAAATAAGTAAGAAACTAGAAATAAAAATAAAGGAAATACAAGAGATTGTTATGAATAAAACGTCCAACAAAAATTATCAGGATACTGAGAATAAAACAAAAACTCATAAAAAATTGTACTATATAGTTTAGATGAGCAACTTTGGGAAGACGAACACGGATTGCATGATAGAATAGTATATGGTTTCCAAGAGATTATGAACATTAACCTCTCGGGCTACATAGAAGAACTAGAAAGAAGAGGTAAAATACGAAAGCGAAGACCGATAATTATCGAACTATTAAGCTAAAATATAACTAATTACATTCTACAGCACCGACATTATTTCAGGGGTACAGTATTAGCCATATCAGAATACCTAAATGAGGATTCACTAAAAAAAAAAGAAATGATCGCTATTTTAATTAAAGCACGTCAGAGTGGAAAAAAGGCAAACATTATCAATAACAAACTTTACGTCAACGGAGGAGAATATAAGACAGATCACATCATCATCATCATTACAGCCCTTCACAAGTCCACTGCTGAACAAAGGCCCCCCCCCCCCCGAAGGTATGCCACAAAGCACGGTCGTGAGCCACCTGCATCCATCATACCCCATATCTTCCCGTAGGTGTCGTAAGAGGTGACAGAAGGAGACAGACAGGAGATGGGCGGCAGCATCTTCCTAATAACAACAATAATATAATAAAAAAACTGCGGTTGCCAACCCGCTCTCCAAGCGTGGCAACTATGGCAAATATCCCCCATGACAGATTACATATCAAACATAAATCTCAACCAAAAAAACCAAAAGCTGTCTGGCTCAGGCTGATTCTGTCACTGTCATTATCATTTGTCATAATAGTGACACTGACACAAACACAAACAAACAAAGTACTCAAAGTAGTAAACACATTTTGTGGTGTGAATAATTGATTTATTTAGATTAAAATCTTTACAATATTCAGTGAGAACTGATAAACCAGTTATCTAGATCTATATCTATATTTAACTTTTCGTATTAAATCTTTTCAAATTAAAATGTCATTTTTAAAAGACGACGGTCCAAGTACAAACGAAACCGTTTCTTGTCCAGTTTGTAATCGAGACTTTGAAAAAATAACTATAGAGGAACATGTTAACAAATGTTTGTTTCTAAACACGCTTGCAGAAAGAAAACCAAAGAGGAATAACTCGTATTTAAAAGGAAATACCTTAGGAAAAAAGATGAAATTAGATTCCGTTACAAATAACTCATCTAAAGACAAAGTAAGCAATAATAATATACAGCTTTATCGTTTTAATTGTTATATATTTTTAGACAGACCCAGAGATCAATATGCTGGTGTGGCAATGGTCCAGTCATACATAGAGCTTGAAGAACTGTCAACTGTTAGGTAAGAAAGGTTCACGAGTAGCAGTCTCATACTGGTAATCGAAGGGCTCCCACTAGATGGAGTGACGACCTGGTAAGACATGTAGGGAGTACATGCAGTGTTGTTAATTTAGTGACTGTCGCTAGACGTAACAACTTTTGTTTAAGTCTAAGCAACAAAAAAAGATTTGACGACATAAATGACTTAGTGACATCTTTGAGAGTAGAAATCAAAATAATTTTAGGATGCACCTAAAACTGCTTAAGAGTATTCAGTTCTATGAATATTCTAAGAACAAAACAAAACAACGATTGTCACTAAAAACTGTTAATGTATTGATCCTGTTAAGAAATAAGTTGAAAAAACAAAATTAAAATTAGGCGTCTTTTGAAATACCACCGGAAGTGCTGCAAATTATTGGATCTAACAAAAGTTACTCTTTTATAAAAATAACATTCATCTGCTACATTTAAGCGATGTTCAACCCTCAACATCAACTGCAGCTGTATTAGATGAGCATGAGATTGAAGAATTATTTGATTTATTAAGCTATGAAAATGAATAACTGATATATTTATTTTATTATTTTCTTCTTCTTATTGTCTTCTTTCTTATAATATATAAAAATCCATTGTTGTCTATAAGTCTCACAAAAAAATTGAGTGGGTCCCTGGATGGTGTAAAAGCTCGATTGGTGGTGTTGTTGAGGTCCAGAAATCACCTGTGCCAAGGTGGTGGCAGATTGCTAGTCAATCAATATATATATATATATATATATATATATATATATATATATATATATATTATATATATATATATTTTATGTTTTTATTACAGATTTTAATACAATTATTTATTAGTCATTAATATATTATATTAGTTTAAAAAAATTAGTTGACTTTGCAGGCCACCCCTGGAACTTCCTACTAATTTCAAATGCAAAGTGCTTCATATTTCACTAAATTATGACATTGAATATAAAATATCGGTGTAATTTAAAATAATATGGAAAGTGCAAACTTGTGCAGTTGCGAAATCTCGAAGTTATGTTAAAAGTTTTTTTTTTTCAAATTTGTTCCTCTTCAATATCTCACGAATGAATGAACCGATTTTTATTTTCTACACGACATTCCACGTCTTTTTTGAGGTTAAGACCTGTTAAATTATTAAAAAGTGTTTATAAAACAGTGTTCCAAAAATTTTATTTTTGAGATTTCTCAAAATCTACCACATCTCATCTCATCAGATCTCATCTAGATCAAGACATTCAAAAGTTATGAAAGATTTACACACACACACACACACATACACACGCACCTAAACACAAACACACACACAAACACACACACACACACACACACACACACACACACACACACACACACACACACACAAACACACACGCGCACATACGCACACATGCACACACGCACACACACGCACATACACGCACACACGCACACACGCGCGCACACACACACACACACGCGCGCACACACGCGCGCACACACACACACACACACACACACACACACACACACACAGTTACATACATACATCCGTACGGACGTCCATGTGAAATTAGTCGGGATAGCTTCCTGGGATCTGAAAAAGTAGAGATCTGATGAAAACTCGGATTTCGAAAATCGGGGTGAAACCAATAACCCTTTCCCTTATTTGAAAATTTTCAATTTTCTTAGCAGGAAGTTAAAAACTAGCATATTTAAAGATTAAATTAAATACTCATACAGCTGGCATTTGCCATCCTCATCTAACAAGTGACTTTTGATATTGAATCTAGAGACTTGAATTTATAGGAGTTGGCAGCACTTAGTACATGAATGCAGCTAGCTCAGGTCTAGGGTTTGGGTCCCGGGACGTCTCGTGTCTCGAAGTCCCGGGACTTATCGTAATTTTAGTTGTCTCGAGTCTCGGGACTTTTAGGTCGAGACTTGAGACGAGACAAGATTGTCGATATTGTTATGTAATTATTTTTATTTTCAAATAAATGAAGGAGCCTGGCACCATCTATTGGTTTAATGAGTGTAGTGTGTTGTGTTGTGTTTACTCAGTCTTCTACATAACTACTGAGTACACAACACAATAAATGTGTAGTTGTTGTTGTTTGACGTTATTAAAATTGGTATGATTTTCAATTAAGTTCGTTTTATAACTATAAGATTTATCTGTTTAAAAGTGGCGGTTTTAGGGAAAAAGAGAGTTCCCTATGTTGCCCGTTGCTCCACTCAGTTATAGGTTTCCTCCCAATGGTTTTGATTAGCGCCGAACACTTAGTAAATAAGAACAACTTTACATATGTGGAGATTGAATTTGTGTGTGATTAAAAGAAATAAACAAAGCAATTATTAAGGCTGAAATTAACTTAAAACTTATTAAGATTTAATTTTCTGTTTGATAAATGTTGATTTTTACAAAAACAATGCCTTTTTAATATGTTTCATAAGGAAATAACTCAATTAAAATTGTTCAAAAAAGGCCTAGCTCTCTTAAAAATTTTTTTTCTTAAGTCTCGAAGTCCCGGAAATTCCCGGGAATTTGTTTGTAGGCTATCTCGTGTCCCGGAACTTTGAAATTGTCAAAAATTCCCAAACCCTACTCAGGTCTACGTTTTGTGGCTACATTAGGAGATGGCCCATGTGTAGCTGTTGACTAGTCAAAGGCTGTAATGTTGATGATGATGACGAATATATTTTTTGGTATACTATAACTAATAATATATAAACTTATTTTGCGTCAGGATTCAACAGATGTATCACATACTTCAAGCCTTCCGAGTCCAAGTACACGAAAACTAAAGTTACATGAAGGTGTCCCATTAGCAGAGCAAATGAGACCACTTCACTTAGATGATATAGTTGGTCAAATGGAAGCTTTTGGACCAGGGTCTATGCTACGGTCTATATTGGAACAGAAGAAGGTTCCCAATATGATTTTATGGGGTCCACCAGGCTGTGGAAAGGTATGGCATATGATTTGCTCACTATCACTTAGTTGTCACATTTATAAACTAATGTAGTTATTCCATTACTTAAATACAGCTTATTATAAAAACAATTGACAAAACTTTTT